CAGTTTCCTTGCCCGGGAAAAAATTCATCGACACCGACAGTTCGGGAGTGTAGCGCAGTACACGCAGCAGATGGAAGAATTTTACAACCGAATTCCCGACCTGACCGAAGGGGAAAAAGTACAGTCGTACCTCGCCGGGCTGAAGACCGAAGTCAAACGACAAGTGGCAGCGTCAAACTACGCGAGCTACAGTGACGTCGTTTCAGCAGCGGAGCGCTTCGACATGGTCAACGCCGGAACACGACGGACGCACATCGGCAATACGCGACAGGGCGACCGCTCGGCTCACCCCACGTTCGCCGACCCGATGGAAGTCGACAGATTCGAGGGGCGGCCACGTCCGAAAAACACCAACTACACGTGTGATTTTTGCGGGGGTGCCGGGCCATCGAATCTTCGACTGCAACAAAATGAAAGCCGCACGCGCAGAGTATCGGGCACGCAACAGTGGCGGAATTCCTTCAGCCAATCAGAAGACAAAAAACGGGAGTCGCCAGTGATTGCGGATCTAGCTGGCGAAAATAAAAAGATCCGAAAGCGGCCACAGGATGCCGGAAAAATCAACTTCGACGAAGCTGATTCGACGCGACAAGGAGAAAATGATGGGAGAAAATCTCCACCCCACGACCAGTCTTCGCCAGGGAAAATCGCCGAGAAAAAATACGACTCTGCGAAAAAAGACTCTGCCGAGACGGGGAAACTCCTTGAAGACCCAAGAAATTATAAGGATTCGTTAAAGCTATCCTATAAAGATGCTTTAATGAAAACTTATGATTCTCGAGGGGCTAGAGCCTTGGAGAAATTCGGGAAGGACTCTAAAAGAAGCAGACAGCTCTGGAGATTATACCGGTACCGGACAACTTGGGGAAAAAATTAAGGAGTGTGGAAAGAAGCCGACCTTTTCACGGAGTCAACGTCCTCTCCCGACACCAGCCCACAACGACTTCCCTTTCCCCAGGGAAGACGTCAGTGGAGCTGAAGCAGCTCAAGGGGAAGCTGGGGGTCTACAAGAAGCTGCAGAAACCCCGAATTCCTCCTCCGGATGCATCCAGTTCAGCAACTTCGGCATCAACGACGCGCACAGTCGTCAAGGAAACTCCGGGCCCTGGAGAAGAGCCGTTCTCCAAGCAGCCTCGGCCAGCTGCCAGCCCAGGAGTAGATAGCAACGAAAAGGTGTGTACGGAATATTGGGATGTACCCTATGACACAATCAATGAAACTATCTTTGGGTACTCCGAGCAACGCCTGCCCCTCGTGCTCGAGGTCATCTGCAAAGGACGACGCCTCCAAGCACTCGTGGACAGCGGAGCATCGCACACCGTCTGCGACAAGGCAACCATCGACCGACTTCGAGAAGAGTACAAGCCATCAGCGTTTTCTGCAACAATGGTGGACGGCAGCAAGTTACCAGTACACGGCGAAGCAGTGCTACACCTACAAATTGGACCACTGCGCTGGAGACGTGCACTCCCCATCACCAACATCAAAGGGCTTCACTTGGTCTTCGGGCGAAACTTCCTAAAAAGATTCAACCCCGAGATCATCTGGATGAATCGCACCGCAAGCATCTACAACACTGGACGGAGAGTTCAGCTACCCAACTGGGACGATACAGGAGATATCCCAGTGGAGACACTCGCACGATTCGAGAAGGACGTGAAGCGAACCGACACCGGGTTCCTGGCGATAGCAACAGAGCTGGAGAACGACGGAGAGAAGACCTCGGAACCTCCGGAAAAAATCAAGGAGTTGCTGAAGGAGTTCCATGACAACCTTCGTGACGATCTTTCGAACCAGCTACCGCCATACCGAACGCATCAACACGAGATCGTGGAGGAACCGGGTTCGAAGCCGACCTTCCGAGCACCATATCGGCTCAGCCCTACGGAGCTGACCGACATGAAAAAACAGATCGAGTATCTCCTAGCCAAAGGACTCATCCGACCATCCACTTCGCCATACGGTGCTCCAGTACTCTTCACACCGAAACCGGACTGAAGCCTGCGCATGTGCATCGACTACCGAGCTCTTAACAAGCAGACCATCAAGAATAAATATCCGATAACACGAATCGATGACCTGCTTGACCAGCTTCGGGGAGCTACGATATTTTCCAAACTGGATCTACTGTCCGAATACTGGCAGATACGGATGGCGGACAACTCTATCCACAAAACTGCTTTCCGAACTCGGTATGGATTGTACGAGTATTTGGTAATGCCATTCGGACTCACCAACGCACCGGCAACATTCCAAGCCGAAATGAACCACATTCTACGACCACTTTTGGACGAGTGCGTGGTGGTGTATCTGGACGACATCCTCATCTACTCGCGCGACATGAAGCAGCACGTCGAACACCTGCGACGCGTCTTCGAAATTCTTCGACGCCAACGATTCTACGTCAAACTGTCCAAGAGCAAATTCGCCATTGAGAAGGTCCAGTTCCTAGGACACATGGTGAGCGCTCAAGGAGTTCACGTCAACCCCAAGAAAATCGAAGCCGTACGTACGTGAAAGACACCCGAGAACGTGAAGGAGTTGCAGCAGTTCCTAGGCTTCGCTAATTACTACAACAGGTTCGTGCCACAGTATGCGAAACTCGCAGCACCACTCACGAATCTGCTGAAAAAAAACACGCCCTACAAATGGGAGCCGAAGCACCAGGAAGCCGTGGAGCAGCTGAAGCAAGCACTTACATCCGCACCAGTACTCATCTTGCCAGATCCCGAACGCGACTACGTCATCGAAGCTGACGCCAGTGACCAGGCAGTGGGAGCAGTCTTGATGCAAGACCAAGGAAATGGACTGCAACCAATCGCCTACCTCAGCAAGAAACTGCACGGGGCAGAACTAAACTACCCGATACACGACAAAGAGGCCCTTGCCATCGTCATCGCCTTCAAAGCGTGGAGATGTTATCTCGAAGGACGAAGAACAACCGTCTACACCGACCACTGCAGCCTGAAATACTTGAAGACACAACCCAACCTTTCCAGGCGGCAGGTTCGGTGGATCGACTTCCTCGAGACACACTTCCACTACGACATCGTGTACAAGCCCGGCCACAAAAAAAAAGCAGACGCCCTCAGCCGGCCTGCACACGTTGCCGCTATTCAGATCGAAGGGATGAATCCACTCCTCAAGGGACTCTTCACACACGTGTACGCCATCGACCCCGAAATTCCCTTGGCAGAAAACGACATCTGCTACAGTGGGACAACGACATCGCGTACAGGAATGGATCAACAAAAATCTGGGTACGTAATTACCCTCCATTGCGCCAGTTACTACTCGAAGAATACCACGACGTCCTCTACGCCGGACACTTCGGTAGCAACAAGACGCTGACCGGTATTGCAAAACACTACTACTGGCCCCACTTGGCAGAGGATGTTCAGAAATTTGTCACCTCGTGTGATACATGTCAGAGGATGAAGAGCAGCAAACAGAAGAAAGCGGGACTGCTACAGCCTCTTGTCCCAGAACAGCCATGGCAAGTGGTCATGGGAAACGCACGTCGTCCTCTGCATGACTACCTTGTCAAGCAGGGTGTCACTTCTACCATCCAGCTTTGAGGGGGGGATCTGTGAGAGTACGACCCCGTTACACCACTTGGCTTTTCCTTCCTCTTTCATTTCTCTTTTTATCCCATTTTATTTGGTTTCCTCTTCTCCATTTTTCATTAACCTTTGGTTTATCCTGTTATTATCATTATATAACCGACCAGGCTCGGGATGTACTATTGCGCTCTATCTAGCGTAATCCTGCCGTAATCTCTTAAAGTCAATAGCCTCGCGTGGCTATACGCAGGGTGATTCTATATTCTACAAGGGTCTATTCCCTTGGGATAAGATAAACCTGGTTACCTGATGTACTTTGGAAGTATAAAAGCGCCTTGTACTGATCGATAGTGCAATCTTTCCTCGAGTCATTGGATCCTGTGACAGGCAAGCACTCTGAGGCACACTGGAAGGCAGCCAAGCGTGTCCTTCTTTACCTTTGAGGAACCAAGGACTACGTCCTTACGCTTGGCGGTCGCACCCCACCCACCCTCACCAGCTTCAGCGACTCCTCATGGGCTGACTCCCAGCCTGATCGTCACAGCTCCCAGGGGTATGGCTTCACCCTGGGGAGTGGCCTCATTAGCTGGCGCTCTACCCGCTCCTCCTCCATTGCCCTCTCCTCCTATGAAGCTGAACTCTATGCCGTTACCACGGCTGCACAGGAAGCTCGCTGGCTCGGCTACCTTCTCACGGAATTTGGTGCCCCTCAGCTCTGCCCCACCATCTGGTGCGACAATGCTAGCACGATACACTTCACCAAAGAAGCAGTTTCCCATGGCCGCTCCAAGCACATCGAGCTCCGCCACTACTTCGTTCGCGAACTCGTCCAAGCCGACCATCTAACCGTCCACAAGATTGACTCCTCTGCCAATCTTGCTGACATCTTCACCAAGGCTCTCCCTCGCATTCGTCACTCCCTCCTCAGCCTCTTAGGCCTTGCTCCTCGCTCCTCCTCGTTCCCTACCTGATTCAAGAGTCGTCTCTTCTCGACCCAAGTATTCTCTCACTATGCAGGCTACGGGGTTGTGTCAGAATATAGTATTCTTTTTATCCTACATAGTTTCTTATACTTGTGTATATATATATATATATATATATACATATATAACCAAGTTGGGCTATCTAGGGGTGTAGATGAATGTTGGGGTTGGATATTCAACCAACCCTTGACCCCAAATATCGAGGTGTTCAATCTTGTTGGTCTTCCACCAACATTATTGGCTCCTCAATTGTTGGTGGTCCAACCTTCCCAAGTTCCCGTGGTCAATTCTTCTCTCCACATTTTCTCTCTGATGCACTCCCTAACCCAAGCACCCGTCGAAGATGTAGCTTGTCTCAACAGTACGTTGGTAGAGAGCACGAGCCACCTTGTGCTGCATTCAACATACATGTGCTGCATGTGCCATCAGCACACACGTGGCGCATTCCACTCACGATCTGGTTAATGCACTCCCCAGAGCACCCGTCGAAGAGGTAGCAGGCCTCGACAGTGCGCTGGTAGAGGGCACGCGCCACCTTGTGGCGAATGCTGAGGGGAAACTCCTCCATCACCTCGTCCTCCACCTGCTCCGTCTCAAACTGCAGCCGCACGTGCTGCCATGGGCAGGTGGATACACAGTAGAGAGGAGAGAGGAGAGAGGAGGCGAGGGGAAGAAGGATGGAAGGGGAGAGGCAACTCCTCCATCACCTCGTCCTCCACCTGCTCCATCTCGAACTGCAGGCGCACGTGCTGCAGGTGGGACGTGGATAGGGCGGTACAAGGAACACGTGGAGACACGGGATGCTGAGGGGAAGCTCCTTCATCACCTCGTTCTCCACCTGCTCCGTCTCGAATTGAAGCGTCGCGTGCTGCAGTGATGTGGGCATGTGGGAGAAGGACAAACGGATGGCATGGGAGCTGCACGTGCTGCAGCAAGAGAGAGGGGCGTGGCATGTGGAGAGAGAGTGCAAGAAGGATGGGAAGAAGGATGGGGAGGTGAGGAGAGAGGATGCAGAGAGGAAGCTTCACCACGCCCTCACCCTCCACCAGCTGTGTCTCACATTGTAGCCTCACGTGCTGTGTGTGGCGGGAGTGGCATGACGCCACAGAAAGGAGGCAGGAAGGGCTGAACGATGTGAGGTCTACAACATGCAGCGACCCTTCTTCTTTCACACTCCCCCTCTCAATCCCTCCCTTTCACACTCTGCCCACTTACTCTCGCAGCTTCCTCCTTTCTCGTCCTCACACCTCTCTCCCTACCTGCATCTGTCTCATCTGCTGCCGGAGTGCGTGCGGCAGGTGGTTGCAGTTCATGTACTTGATCAGCGCTGACATCTGCTCCTCCTCTCGCACCCTTGCCTCCCTTACTCCTCACATCTCTCACCCTCATACATACCTCACCTCGCCCTGCCCGCACCTGTCTCATCTGCTGCCGCAGCGCATGCGGCAGGTGGTTCCTATTCATGTACTTGATCAGCGCTGACATCTTCTCGCGGTACCGCGTCGTGTTGGACCCCTTCACCACCATTGCCGTGATGTTGCCTGCTCGCAGGGGGATAGGGTGACACACAACGCATGGGGTGGCACACAGGGCATGGGGCATTGGGAGCAGCAAGACGACCCCTGCACCACCATGGCTGTGGTGTCGCCTGCGCAGAGCATACAGGGTGAAGGGAGGAGGACACATGGCATGCAGTGAAAGAGAAGGGCATGAGGAGCAGCAAAAAGGCCCCTTCACTCACCACCATCGCTGTCATGTTACCTGCTCACAGGGCAGGGGGCATGGGGGCGAGCACAGATGGCTTTGTCCCGGCTTTAACCAGCGAGGCACACAGAGAGGAAGGGTTCAAAGGAGATAAGGAAGGGTTTAAAGGAGATAAGGAAAGGTTCAAAGAAGATAAGGAAGGGTTCAAAGGAAATAAGGAAGTGTTCAAAGGAGATAAGGAAGAAGGGTCCAAGGCATCTCTTGGGTCGTTTGAATCGACTTACCAACGAGGTAGGTCAAGAGAATGTGGTCAAAGGAAATGCAGGCCATGGCTCAGAGCATCACTTGCGCTGTAAGAGCCGGCTCACCAACGAGGTAGGCGGAGAGGACGAGGTCGAAGGAGATGTAGACCATGGCGAACACCATTTCCCGCGGGTTCACTGGATGCACGTCGCCGTAGCCTGGGAGGGAGATGGTGGCACGAAGGTGGACGGCAGATGGCGAAGAGAATTTCCAGGCGGCACACAAGTGGGAAGGGCGTTCTATGTGGGCTGACAGGCGTGGGAAGGACGAAAAAGCCACGGTGAAAGCACTTGCACAAGGGGACGGAGCAAGCAATAGGGTGAAGGCAGTTCACCCAACAATAATCACCATGCTGATGACGCACCATTAGAGCGAGGTGGCCCAACACCTCCTCCCATGCATGCAAGGCCACTCGCCATGCTTTCCAGTCGACTCGAAAGTGCACTCACCAATAGTGGCCATGGTGATGACGGACCAGTAGAGCGCAGTGAAGTACCGCGTGTACAGGTCAATGTCTCGGAAGTCCGTGTACTGCAGGTCCCCCAGAGTGAGGCTGCCGATCCACGTGCTGCCTTCCTGTGCATGCCACACATGTGTTGCGGGCAAGCGAGAGAGAGTCGTGCAATCAATCACCCAGGAGTTTGAGTCTGATTGTGTCAGGTCAGGTCAGGTCAGGTCAGGTCAGGTCAGGTCAGGTCAGGCTGTGTCTAGAAGCACATAGGGCTGACAGGGCAGACATGGTAGACGCATAGACGCACGACCGTCGGATGGGGCACACTGACACTGACACACTGACACACTGACACACGGACACACTGACACACTGACACACTGACACACTGACCGTCAGTGCCGTCACACTGACTGAAGCTAGACTTGAAGCTTGCGCTTCATGACCCAAAGGCGTGGAAACCGAGAGGCGGAATGGGAGAGCACAAGGCAAACCACGAGCGCAACACGAGCGCAACATGCGTCCAACACGTGAGCAACATGAGAGCAACACGAAAGCAACACGTAAGCAACACGTGAGCAACACGTGAGCAACATGAGAGCAACACGTGAGCAACACGAGAGCAACACGTGAGCAACCCGTGAGCAACACGAGAGCAAGACGTGCCTTCACCTTGTTGCTCTCTTGTCAACAAAGAAGTCAACGGAAAAAGCAGATGACACATGGCTCGTACTGGTCGGGCGGGTAGGTGGTGGCGAGGAAGTAGAAGAAGCAGCCGGCCACGTGGGTGATGTAGAGCTCCACGAATATGAGCTTCACCACACGCACCGCGAAGTAGCTCAGCCGGATGTCCCTCTGCAACCTGGGGTATAGATTACGCACATGGGGAAACAGAACGTGTAGACAGGAGGAGCAACAGTACACGGTGATGTCGGCGATGTGGAGCTCCACAAACATCCGCTTCACCACGCGCACTGCAAAGTAGATCAGGCGGATGTCCCTCTGCAACCTGGGGTTGGGCGCATTGGAGAACAGGTGTGAATAAAACGAATCAGGTGGACGATGACGTGGGTGGGAGGGTGGCACAGAACGCCACAAATATGAGCTTCACCACGCACACCGGGTGTTTGCTCACTGTGAAAAATGAGCCCCGCTGCGACTGCACATTGGAACCGGGGGAGTAGGTTGCAGGAAGGTGAAGCAGGTAGCTTCCGAGTGCTGCTTTTGTTTCCAGCACCACAGCTCTTGAGGACTAATGCATGGCCGGCACAAAGTTTGGGAGCACTTGAAATGAGGTGGAAGGAGACACAAGACAGTTCCCATCTGGTTGAAACTCAATAAGCTTGCTTCCTACAGAGGTGAGGCATGGGGTCCTGCACGCCTTTCATGGCCTGCCATACTTGGAAGGGCTGAAGAAGGCACGCACATACAGCCACACACATCACATACCGGTGGAAGTAGTTCATCACATGGCGTGTCCTCACAACTCTCGTCCATAAAAACCATCGCAGCAGGTGTGTAATGAGTCGATTTTTTAGTCCACTAAAAAATCGACTCATTACACACGGATTATACATGAGAGAATTTTTGTCGCATGGAAGGCTGGGCGTAACTTGCAAAAGTTACTTGTTCGCGCGAGGCTCCCTGAGCACCAGCTGGCGAGAAGTGGTTACCCACGACACGTCCTGAGGAATGAAGACCTGGCACCTTGGAACTTTCCAGGGTGTTTTTGGATTGGCAGACCATATTTCAGTCGCGGTTGTTTCAGTCGCGGTTGTTTGTTCTCGTAGCGCAGTTTCTGTTTAAGAGCTCGCTTGTAAACTCACTTTCATAATTCCACCAGCACTGATGAAGGTCTGATTTGGGGCCTGTCCCAGTCAGTCAAAACTAGTTTGCGTTTTAATCTTCTAGTGGAGCTGAGTTCGGAACTTCAAATTCTCGCATTTTAAACAGGGGTATCTTTACCTACTGTTACTCTCTTTGCTAAAGTTCTCCTCTTCGTTGCAGCCCACCCTAACGCTTAATGGCCACACATCACATACCGGTGGAAGTAGTTCATCACATGGCGTGTCCTCACAACTCTGGTCCATAAAAACCATCGCAGCAGGTTGTCATCACCTTCCCCTCCTGCCAGCTGCCAAACAGGTCAGCGGGAGTAGGCAAACGAACTCATGGGCAAACGAACTCATGGGCAAACGAACTCATGGGCAAACGGGCTGATGGGCAAAGGGGCTGATGGGCAAACGGGCTGATGGGCAAAGGGGCTGATGGGCAAACGGGCTGATGGGCAAAGGGGCTGATGGGCAAAGGGGCTGATGGGCAAAGGGGATGATGGGAAAAGGGGCTGATGGGCAAACGGGCTGATGGGCAAAGGGGCTGATGGGCAAAGGGCTGATGGGCAAAGGGGCTGATGGGCAAAGGGGCTGATGGGCAAAGGGGATGATGGGCAAAGGGGCTGATGGGCAAGGAAGGGCAGTGAGGCAGCGAAGCAGCAGCAGGGTGGCAAAGG